GCCTTTATTAGAAAAYGTTATGAAAGACATGCCACTCTTAGGGCTAAAATCACAATTACAAATCATTAGCAATACATTACTACAAATGACGATTAATTTTCAATTGGTCATATTCATAATTAAAACATTTTTACCTTTTAAAGCTTTTGGTAATGGTTTCAACAAAATTCACTGTTTCAATTTGAAAATTATATTTAGGAACACTGGTAGATCTAGAGAGGAGAAATACATAAATGAGAGTTAGATTGTTTCATTGTTTGCACAATGATCTAAGATGTTTCAACTGCTTTCTCAAGGARTGGTTAACTTTTGTGACAAAATGGTAAAACTTTCCTCTGTTCTCTACAGTAATGAACCTTGAAGTTAACTGAACAATGTTTCTTGTTTTTGGCAAGTTGCTGATAACAAAGTTTGAAAGTGCAATGGCAATGTCTGAAGTTCCAAGGCTTATATGGAACAATTTCATCAAGAGATATGCAAATCTCAAGTTCAACACAATACAAAATACAAGTATGTACAAAATACATGTATGTGGGCTTTATGGACTGACTACATGTACAAATGTACTACAGTATAATTACAAATGTGGCCATGAATGGATTGTGGATGGAAGATAAAGATGATGGATAAAAGAATGAAAAAAATGGAAGAGCAAATGGAATGGACAATTCTATCCTAAGTCATAGGATCATGCTAGGAAAGAAATAAGTGAAATGCATGATAGCTGCCAAAATACAATTTCTGTGGTTTGCACAATTAACTTAAATGACATAATAAGTCTAATAAAAGGCATCTGTCACTTTACCGTTCAGAGCATATGGGACCGGAAGCTGTCATGTTTCATTCAATAGTAAAGGCGAGCATATTAAACATGTTAAAAGGAAGTTCATGCTCGACTCTAATTGAAATTCTAAATATGTCCATGTACGGCTAATGATTTCCTGTCTTCATCAATGGCAAAATGCCAAAAGAATGATTGCCAAAGCCACAACAATGAGTCGAACGTAAAAAGTTACACTATAGCTAAGTCATGTGCGCCGTCCTTTACTCTCTAGAACTAAAAACAAGCTAAAAGAATGACTGAATGCTTATAAATAAAGCTTCAATTCTTTAAAACAGTTCTACTAGGAGTGATTTTTGGCTACAAAGGCTAACCAACTAAATGTCTTTGCATCTAAAAAGACAAAACAGATGACTATGCTTGTACTTTCTATATTACAGCAAAACACCGTCTCGTTTGACAATCGACTCTTATTGATCTTGATCAAAAATATTATCAAACATAAATATATCTAAATGATTTTTAATCTAGCTTACATTACCTGTCCAGAATAAAATACACATCAAACTCGCCATAGCATTTCGGTTGAGAGGCGCCACAAGTGAAAGAACACCAAGTCAGCCATATACCTACTAGGCAAACGATCGAAATATTTCGACATCTATTCATCATGAGGCGTCAGGATCAACACAGCAACATGTCCGTAGAGTTTCTTTTCAGCTAGAAACTCTTTGGGCTGCTTCTAGCTCTGATTTTCGTGATTCACGAGAATGTTTTGGCACCGATGTAGTATTGTTTTGTCACGTGAGCTAGCGAATGTCTGCCTGGGGGACTGGGTAGAGCTACACCATGCACCAAAGCATGACGGGAGTTTCAGTCACACTCTTTATGTTATTTATTTATGTTATATTTATTTATTTATTTATTTATTGGCCAAGACGAAAATAGTGGTGCCGTTTCTACAATGAAATTATGAAAACGACCTTTAC